AGTCAGATAGCATATTGCCTAAACAGCATAGTTAACAGTGGCCAAGTTTATCATGCAGATTTAAGTCCTCGCCTTCCATTCTGATAAGTTTCTAGGTATAGCCATCCCCTCCTTCTTCCTGGTACAGGGAAGAAGGCATCCTTACAAATGGAGATTTCCTTTACAAATGTAAATGTCTCTTACAAAGGGTAACCAGAACTAAGAATTGGCTTAGCAAGGACCCTCCCAGATACCCAGAGATGTCTATGGTGATGGCCTGTCCTGGGGACAGGCGTCCCATACCAAACTCTTTTGGTCGGTTAGTGGGCGTGGGGGCCAAAATGTCTTTCAGGCAGAGACATATTTTGAGGTGGCCAGTTCCAATCCCCCATAGTTACTAGCTGCTTAATCATCAATGGCTAACTGTTTGCCGGTTTCACTCATGGCCCAGATTATTTTGAGCGAATCTCTGACATCATATCATTTCATCACTAAATATTTCCGTATATATCACTAAAAGCACAAAGACTTTTTTTAACCAACCTCAATACCATTGTTAAACGTAAAAACAATTAACAATAACTCCTTAATATTATCAAGTATCCAGTCACTGTTCAAATTTATATTTTTGAAAGCTAATAATTAAAGGGAAATAATCAAGAATTTATCTTGCCTTTGATTTATGAACTATACCCCAGGGTAACTGTAGTTGGGGAGCTGTTTCTTTTTGTAGAACTATTGCAGTTAGTAAGTGAAGAAAGAATGATTAGAGTATTACCATTTTGCACCTGTAAGTGAATTAGTAAACCTAGCCAATGATTATCATTTGCTAACAGCATAAGAAGAGAGATAATCAGACACTAAATGCTTCCTGCTGGAAGTACACAATATCACCTATGAAGTTTTTGTGCCAAAAAAATCAAACCTGAATCTGATCAAGACTCTAGATCAGTTTACCAACTTACAGGAAATAAAGAGGACAGAGCAACATGCTGAATGACACAGTGAGAATGTAGACGGCAAAGTCCAGACTGTGGGAAACTACTGGACATGACCCAGTTTCTTCAACTACAGAAAATTCTAAGGGGAAAAAGAAGTGGAAGGGAAACTTATAGATCAAAAGAGAGCTAAGAGACTTATCCACTAATCACAATGATTGTACCTTATTTGCATCTTAATTTCAACAAACTGAAAAAAAAAGACAAGTGGAAAAATTTGAACAGTGACTGGATACTTGATAATATTAAGGAATTATTGTTAATTGTTTTTAGGTTTAACACTGGTATTGAGCTTAGGTTAAAAAAAGGCTTTGTGTTTTTAGTGATATATACTGATATATTTAGTGATGTAATGATATGATGGCAGGGATTTGCTCAAAATGATCTGGGCTGTGAGAAGTACATGGTGGTGCAGATGAGATAAGAACCAGCCATGAGTTGATAGTTGTTGGAAGCTGGAGGATAGAGGTTCATTACACCAGTCATTCTGAAAGTGGTCGCTGGACCAGAAGCTTGTGCACCACCTGGGAACTTGTTAGAAAGCAAATTATTTGGCCCCACCCTAGATCTACTATATCCGAGAGACTGGGGTGGGGTCCAGCAATTTATTTTAACAGTCCCTCCAGGGCCGGCCCTGTGGCTTAGTGGTTAAGTGCACGCGCTCCGCTGCTGGCGGCCCGGACGTGCACCGCTTCTCCGGCCATGCGAGGCCGCGTCCCACATACAGCAACTAGGTGGATGTGCAGCTATGACATACAACTATCTACTGGGGCTTTGGGGGGAAAAAATAAATAAATAAAATCTTTAAAAAAAAAATACCTCCAGGTAATTCTGATGCACACTGAAGTTTGAGAACCACTGCTTTATGTTATTCTTCTTATTTTAGTTTGTGTTTGAAATTTTAATAATAAAAAGTGAAAAAGAAAAAAATTAGGTTGATGAATGTAAGAAACCAAAATGACACATAACTATGAGAAGCTGGAGTAGAGGCTAAGACAAAGGTCATGTAGTTTTTTCAAGAGTTAGATGCATTGGCAAGGTATTAACCGTCAGCCAGCTGCTAAGGGTAGTCTTAAACCAAATCACAGATTTTGAGTTTCTCTGAGAACAGTGGCTCTACATTAAAATCACCTAAAGAATTTTTAGAAACATAACCAGACCTCACCCCAAGAATTCTGGATTTAATTAGTTGGATTCCTGGATTTTGATATTTTTTTAAATCTTCCCAGATGATTCTAATATGCAACCTGAGTTGAGAACCAGTGTCCTAACTTGACAGTGCTCAAGAATCTCTCGAACAGCTCATTAAAAGTTTTCTGGTCCTCATCCCCTGGAGGGTCAGATTCAATAGGATGGGCTGGGGCCCATTAATTTGCATTTCCAATGAGATCACAGGGGATATAGATGCTGCTGGCCTGAGCACATTTTGAGTAAGACTATCCTAAAGTAAGGGATAGTTTGGTTAAAGAAAGAGATAAGCATAAGTGAGAGGGATATTTAAAAATTTATCTTCTGGAGGATTCTTACTGTTAGTACTCCTAAATTACATCCCGGGAGGCTGCCTCATTTCTTTCTAGAGGTTAGAAATGCAAATGTGAATTCCATGGCATATCTGGGAAAGAGAAGAGACTTATAGTGTTAAAAGTCTCTTGAAAAGCACAAATGATAAGTAGATCTTTTTGACTTACCAATAAAAATTATTAAGTTTACTGATTGGACAAAATATAACCCTGTCTCCCCAAATTTAGTAACTTAAACACCCATTCTCTGATGATTTGCTTGTGCTTGTATTTTTTTATTACTAGAGTAATCTAAAAGATAGAGAAATCACTTCTTAATTTAAAAAAATGTAGGAATTTAATATAACTTGGGCATCAGAATACTGTTATATTCTTTGAAATTTGGTTTTAGGAAATAAGTTGCATGTTACAGATTTTATTTTTGTTGGTTCATGTGGACTGTGAAAGAAATCAGAGGAATATAGAATGATGATAATATTATCTAAACATTTCTTAACATTTTCTCTTCTTGGTTAGGATCAGGCATCCATGAGTTCTTGGATAAATATTTCGATGTTTAATTTTGGTAAGATGTTTCTTTCTGGCTGATTTGGTTCTTTGGGTATTTTCAAATCACGCTTTAAAGTAAACAGTTTTAAAATATGAATCTATGGTTTTAAAATACAATTTAAAATAAGATCTCTATTTCATCTACACCATGAGAGTAGACTAGATTTAGAATGAAAGAGATTTGCCATAAGCCTGGTCCAAGCCATTAAGTATTATATATTAACAAATAGAGTCTCATTTGTCTATACCAACCACTTTTAATCTGTATGTAAAATAGTGGTCATGTAGTATTTCATAATTCCTGTTTGTCAAACACAAGTGAGTTAATTTCATTTTATTGCCAGAAGCAGATTATTTATATCCTTGAAGTTCCTAGTCTTTTATACTTATTTTTCAAAAGATGACCTCAAGTGTTATATTATATATAATGTATATGTTATATGTTACTGGTTATATATTCCTGTTTTGAACTTTTTCTTCTTAATTTCAGAAAATGAGGTTTCTAATATTTTTTCGTGCTGGTGATGAAGCAAAGCTTATAGTTTGTTCATTACCTCCTGTTTGATAACTTTATTATAGGGCCTGTTACTTAAGCAACAGTTAGAGGTTTGAAGGGGAGTGGGAGGAGGTTGAAAAAAAGTGTCAGTGAGTGGAAGAGCCCTTTAGCATTTTTATGGTATATGTGAACTTTTATTGGGAATTTAAAGTCTTGTTTTATAGTAGTGTCAATTAGTGAATGCTTTCTACATTTTTTCCAAATTTTTTGTCAATAATCCCACAGCTAATACTGAATATTTTTTAAAAAAATAATAATGTAGTGGGGCCAGCCCACTGGTTTAGTGGTTAAGTTAGTGGTTAAGTTTGTGTGCTTTGCTTCAGTGGCCCAGAGTTTGTGGGTTCTGATCCCAGGCACAGACCTACACACTGCTCATCAAGCCATGATGTGGCCGCATCCCACATACAAAATAGAGGAAGATTGGCACAGAGGTTACCTCAGGGCCAATCTTCCTCAAGCAAAAAGAGGAAGATTGGCAACAGATGTTCACTCAGGGCCAATCTTCCTCACCAAAAACAATAATAATAATAATGATGATGATGATGATGTAGAACAAAACTAAATACCCACCCAAGAGCAACAAAACAATCAGCAAGAAAAAAATCAAGACTTAATTTGACTATAGGCTGTAGGTTGGAAGAATGGAAAGAGAATGTATACACATTTAGTAAAATAAATAAATCATCCTTCTAGCAAATACATATGTTACATCTGAAAAATGAAAGAAAATACATGTAATACCATCTTTCAGAAAGTTTGGTTTTTTTCTTACTGTCTTATCCACACACATACACACAAGAATCTCTTTTGTCCCAGTTGATGCTTATTGATATCTCTAGATAACTTTCTCAAACAGATGGATTCTAGAAGAAGTTATACTTACTGCACTATGAGAAATAAAAAAGATTCATTTACTTATACTTTCATGATTTACGATGTATATCAGAGATGTTTCAGTTACATTGTGTGTTCAGTTTCAGTTTGTAGTGACATTATTGAAATACTGTAATCAAATTTTTAGATGTAGAGACTGTAGAGATGCTTAAGAATTAAGAGGAAGATGTCTTTGTTTTTTCTACAGAATCTTTGTATTTTATTTACCCATTCAGTATTATTACTTAAAAGTAGTAATGTGAATCGAAATGGTGTGGGTGTTTTGTAGTTCTTGAGAGATTTCATACACTTGTATCATGTTATTCTACTGTCTACTTTAAAAATTACATCTAAGTCTTCCGTTCAGTACACTATAATTTTATTAAGAAAAATACTCTTAATAATTCTAGAGTAAAGACACGTTCTTTTAAAAATTATCTTAATATGTTAATGTACACTCAATTTTAAACTTCCTTAAATTTTTTTTTTAATAAATCGATTTTTCTTTTGTTGTTTCTTCCCTAGTGGTCATATGCGTTAGAAAAGCCCAACACTGGCAGCATCTTTAATATTGCGTGGTCAACTGATGGCACTCAGGTCGCTGGAGCCTGCGGAAATGGACATGTTGTTTTTGCACATGTGGTGGAGCAACGTTGGGAGTGGAAAAATTTTCAAGTTACATTAACTAAAAGAAGGACCATGCAGGTATGATTATGTTCCGTGGTTGATTAAACCTGCCTCTTTTCACATTAGTTCACTATACAGAATATGGAATTATCTTCATTATATTTAAATCAAGTTTATAAAAATTCAGTCATATAAGAAATATTTTAACTATACCATTAGTGACTTTTTCATGACATAAGATAAGACCCTTTCCCTGATATAGAACCTGAGTTCCCACAGCTACTACAGTTATGGGTTGAGGCAGGAATAGTAAAACTTGAAGCATTTAGGGAATATGTGGATTCAGCTGAGGAAGGAGGGGAGAAGCTATGACATGTTAGATTTAAATCCTGGAGCAGACTCCAACACAGGCCTAACCTGCTAGTCACTGTCAGGGTTACATTATCTTATTTATTTATAATTGTATGAGTTTATTTAATGTGATTAAAATTTTTTTTTTCCTTTTGAGAATTACCTAAGCTAAGCCAAAGTGGGAAAATGGTAGGAAGATCTTATTGGGAGTTAGGAAGAAAAACAGGTACTTCTGGAGTGAAATACTTTGTAGATTAAGACAGGAAGATTGGGATGTGGCAATGGGAGGTGGGGGGGCAATGTTTTACAAGTCAGAGAACATCAGTGGGAGGGGTTATTTATTCAACTGTAAGCTTCTTAAGCGCACTGTACTATATTTCACTCTTCTTTATCTCCCCTATAGGGCCTAGCCCAGTGCCTTGCATATAATAAGCCTTCAACAAATATTTTAAAAGTTAGTTGACAAAAGGTAAGAGGAGGAGGCCAGAAACAGTATGCTGATGGCAAACCCTCTGCCAAAGCCTATACCCTTTTCTTCTTTTTCCCCTTGTCTGTATCAGTTGCCTCTATCTTCGATATTCAGAATTCAGGTTATTATAATTACTATAAAAATTTGGAAGCATATATCTTGTGATTTCTTGGACGGGTCTATTCAGATATTCTTTAGCCTAAGTATCCAGATTTTTTAATTTGAATAATATGGTCACTAGATTCAGAATAACTAGGTACATTATAATCCAGGATCCAGGGAGACGTCATCTATAGGAACCTAGTGGGAGTCAGATAGCATATTGCCTAAACAGCATAGTTAACAATGGGCAAGTTTATCATGCCGATTTAAGTCCTCACCTGCATCATCAACTATTTGGTTACTCTGAGGTGAGACAAGTTCTGAATTATTTTCCTTTATTTACCAGTTTTCAAATAATGAGATGATTTCCTAGCATGCCCAGTGGGTTTCTTTTTTGTTGTTCTTGTTGATGCTATCATTATAAACTTGCAGTTTTTAACATTTTGATGTTTTTCAATCCATTGCAGTCATTATTTTCTTTAAGGCTCAAGTGGTCCTATCTTTGGCCAGTTGACTCCTGTGTTCTTTTGAGATGATTTCAATAGCTTGTTTGCATTTCTGACAAGATGGTCTAGGCTCCTCTTATATATTTCCTGTCCCAGACTTGGAATCAGCCATTTTTCCAAGAACACCTTTTTCCTTTCGGAGAGAAATTTTATTTAAGGGACCGTGATCCAGGTGTTAGGTGTGCACATTGCTGCTGGTTTGATCATTACTTCTGGATAAAATGTGTTTTTGACAAGTAAAAATATGTCATGAGTGTTTCAAATTCATGAGGTTTCAAATTCAAATTTAAGACTACAGAGTTTACTCTTGATTTTTTACTTGCAACTCTTTTCTTTTATAAGAAAATTTTGGTTCCTAGAGACATTAATGGTCCTATATACATATATATCCTAAAATATAGCTGAAAAATAACAATATCAATATTATTCTAATAACATGTTAGTACTGTTTTCGATTTCTCGTTTTGTTTTTTTAATATAAACAAATCCATGTATCTTCCCCTTTTTTAGATAAAAGATATCATACTATACACACTGTTTTGCATCTCTCATTTTTTGCTTTACAATGTGTCTTGGAGATCACTCCATAGATCTTCCTCATTCCTTTTTATAGCTGTGTAGTATTCCCCACTTTGTGAATGTACCATAGTTTGTTCAACCTATTCCCTATTGATAGATGTTTGGGCTATTTCCAGTCTTTTGCTATTACCAATAGTGCTATATGTAGCCTTGTGTGTATTTCATAGTTTTGCTTGCTTATCTTTGGGATAGAATTGAAGAAGTGAGATCACTGGGTCAAGGATATACATGTATATGTAATTTTGCTATCACTTGTCATGATGATTGATAATAGTTTGGTGAGGATGAGAGTTGAGGAGCAGATAATAAAATATAATATTCCTTATAGGTGTAAGTACTTAGAAGGAGTACTTATAAGAAGTTTGATTTTATCTTCCTATCTTTTTTTCCATACCTTTTCATTCTTCATTAAGACTATAATTGTCACATTATATTTAGAAAGACGATAACATTTTGAGGAGAATTTAAAGAAATATTTACTTCTACATACAATTAATCTCTTTTTCTCTATTTTTCACCTCTTACTATAGTGTTTTACCCATTCTAGTATTGACCAGAGATTAGATAACTTTAACTTGCCCAACATTTTTCTTAATTTATTGCAGATTGTCTATCAACTTGAAGATTTTTGGCTGATACTGCCAAGTGTTAAAATCCTCGCGACCTTTATTCTGTTACAAACTCTTATAGCAAATTTGACTATTTTTAGACCAATCTCCATTTGTTAGTTGATGCTTTAGCCGTCTTATATATTATCTGTGTGTTTTTACATATGGAAATACTTTCTCCCCTCTGTGCAGCTTGGCTTCTTCACAATGCAGTTGGTTTCTTTACTAATACCTCCTACTCCACTTTTGATTTTTTTTTTTTTTTTTTTTTGTGAGGCGGACCAGCCCTGTGCTAACATCCAATGCCAATCCTCCTCTTTTTTGCTCAGGAAGACTGGCCCTGGGCTAACATCCATGCCCATCCTCCTCTACTTTATATGGGACACCGCCACAGCGTGGCTTAACAAGCGGTGTCTGTGCACGCCCGAGATTGGAACCGGCGAACCCCGAGCCGCCGCAGCGGAGCGCGCGCACTTAACCGCTTGCGCCACCAGGCCGGCCCCTCCACTTTAGATTTTTAAAGTTATTATATGTCTTTTTATAGAATTTAAATTTTAAAGTAAAACCTAACCCTAAAAATAGATATTGTTTTGGGCAGAAATCATATAGTCTCTTTCTAACTCTGTCATACTCCTTTGACTATGTCTCAGTGTTATAGCATTTTTCACCTTATTGCTTCATTGCTACACCATTCAGACTGGCTTTCAGGGTAGACATCTCTATAGGTCTTTTTCTACTTATTTCTAAGACGTTTTCTATGTCTATACTATTGTTGGTTGATTTTTATACCCAAATATGTCATCTTATGCCTGGTTCCTATTGAATTTTTCTTTTTTATGTGGTTAGGTAATCAAGAGTGCATTGAATTTTTTTGTGTGCTAACATCTGATTAAAAGTTTGATGTATTTTAATGTTGTTTGTTGCTATGTCATTTTTCCTTGTTTAGGTTCGTAACGTTCTTAATGATGCAGTGGATTTACTGGAATTCCGTGACAGAGTCATTAAAGCATCTTTGAACTATGCACACTTAGTTGTTTCAACGTCTCTTCAATGCTATGTGTTCTCGTAAGCATCTTGCATTTCTTAAAAATCCAGAGTTTTGTCTGTGATGAGGAATTTATTTTCAAGCTTTCACATCAACATGATTTGGTTTAAACTTAACTTTCTCAAAACCTCAGCTATCCTGAACTTACTCCCAGTCAAGAAGTGATAAAAAGTGAGCTAGGAGCAGTGAAAATAGATCTAATAAAGTTTGTGCATCAAGGGTTAATAATCACTTTTATAATAGAAAATATCTTCTCTGATATAGTGTTTATTCTTACTTTACTCACTGTTCTAGGGAATTTAGTATAATTTGATTTCAAAGCCCAGAGAAGATTAGGAGCAGCTGATAAATGATGGGAAAGGGAATCACCTAACCACTGGAAGAGGAGACAGCTAACCGCCTGACAACAGGCTGAAAGATATTCAGTAAGGACACAAGGAGATATTTAGGCTTAATATCATAGCCCAGGTAATCATGGATGTTCATGTTGATAATCCAGAGTTGTCCAGAAAAAACAAAAGAAAATGTATTCAGTATATTTTATATTAGAAAGCAGGGAATGATTCAATAACATCCAAGAAACTTGAACCTAAAACTTTAAAAACGTACTTGGTATTTTTCAAAGCATAACTTGGTGTGTGCTAGTAAATGTTGAACTGGCTTTCTGGAAACAAACCAACCTGATTTGCCATGTTTGCTGAGTTCTATGATGTAAATACTTCTACCATGGCTGATTTCAGGCTACCAACATGATGTCACTGAGAGCAGAACTGAGAAGAGATGCACAGTAGCAAACCATTATATGGAATTGCCATATAGATACAATATAGATATTGTATAGATTTAAATAATCTCAAGTGCATAGATAATAGTAAAATGTAATAAAATAATCTGGAAGTGATAAATTTTGAGTATTTATTAGTTTTGTTTTGAATGTAACTTGCTTAATTATAAGTTCATATAATTTAATTTTAAATAATAGCTTTACTTTACAGTTGCCTTGCAAAGTTCCTGAATATATAACAATTGGTACAAGCTGGCTGTAGCATGCCACTAGTTGACTTCTCCACTATCCAAAAAACTCAAGTAACCACTATGACACTGTCAAGAGTTGTGAACAGGGGGACGACCCAGGGGCATAGTGGTTAAATTCGCGCGCTCCTCTTTGGCAGCCCAGGGTTCACTGGTTCTGCTCCTAGGCATGGACCTACTTGCCGCTCATCAAGCCATGCTGAGGCAGCGTCCCACAGAGAAGAGCTAGCAAAACCTATAATTAGAATACACAACTATGCACTGGGGCTTTGGGGAAAAACAAAAGAAAAAGAGTTGTGAATAGTTAAGGATTTTTTTTACACTTTATGCTTGTATTTATAACATTATGTGGTTATAGTTTAATCATTGACTATAAAATCAAGCATCTAGATTATGTGTATCTTATTCACCACTATATGCCCAGTACCTGGCACACTGCCCAATATATAGTAGGCACTTAATAAATAAATATTTTTGGGTGAATAAATGAATTGAAAAACGTAAAGTGTAGTGTTATTTTGGTATCCTAAAGCCCAGTAATACATAACACAAAGGTATACAATTTAATTAACAATAACAATTGCTACAATTATATATTAAAAATTCTCACTCACTGTGTGTAAATTTGCTACTAATCAGAATCTGCGACTCAGGATAACAGCCACACCTGGAGGAACGACATGGGAGAAGTACAGGAGAGAGGGATAAAGACACAAGCAGCTCAATTTTATGTTAAATTTTTTTTCTTACACGAAAGAGAAGGAGTAACAGTAAGACTTTGGGAAGATTCCAGAAAGATATCAAGTTAAACAGTTGAGCTATAAGGAAGAGATTATAGAATGTGAGGAAATCTCACAACCACTTAGTGCACATAGGTATTTGAATAATTAATTTTCATGGGTTTGAGGAAGATAGAGAAGATCTCTTTACTTTAGGGCTCTTAATTTCCATACATGAGGGATTTATTCTACTAGTTTTAGTGGCAAGGGCATAATGTTTGAACCTGTAGGATTAGTATCATTATGTGTTACTTGTATTAGAGAGGTTGCTTGTTAAAATATTTACCAAAAGTTTAGTAGCTGTTAATTTTTTTTTGCCACTCTACTTTCCCATACCAGTTAATATGTGGCAAGATATAAGATTGATTTTCTTCTTTTCTGACTTAACCTTGTCTCCTCTCTTGTTGTCAAGACATTTCTTAAGGTACAAAATATTTATTAAAGTGAAATACCAGGCAGCAGTAGTGCTGAGACCTATCACCACCAAAATCTATTTCATTAAATGAAAAAACCTGCTAGTGTTTTAGGTAATACTAGCTATCATTTATTGAGCACTATTATACTATCATTTATGTTCATGATCTAATTTACCCTGTGTATTGAGTAGTAGTAGTAGTATTCCCATTTTACAAGGTAAAGAAACTAAAGGACACAGAAAGTAAGTAACTCGCCCTAGGTCAAATTACTTCTTTACTAAGGGAAGATCTGGGATTTAGTAACTGTTGCCCCTTTTATAATAAAAAGGGCATTTATTGTTATTATAGTTTCTGTTATAATAAAATAATAAAAATATAATTAAAAAAAAACCATGCAAGCAATATGCTGGTTTACATGAAAAGAAGTTCCAGAAAAAGGAAATAATATGTAAGTATTCTGTGTTAAATTTTCATTTGATTTTTCAAATAATTGTATAGAAAATACTCTTGTTCTATTCAACATTGTGGTTTAGGGAGTTTATATTCCCGTGGCGTGTGTGTGTGTGTGTGTGTGTGTGTGTGTGTGTGTGTATCTCAGTTGTCAGAAATTTCAGATATTTTTTAAGGAGACATTTAAAAAACCTCGCAATCAGTGTTCTTATCAGCTCTCTTGACAAAGAATGAAGGTTAATTCTAATGAATGCATAAATGAAGCATGCTGTGATATTTTTTCTGAAGTACAAAAGCACATATCTTTATCATACCTGTGAACCCCAGACTTACTAATTAGTAATAGCAATTTATTCATTGTTTTGCTTCATGCATGCATTTACTTATTGAAATGGGTATCAGACTCTGCATTAGCCAAGATTAATTTCCCGCCAGTGTGCCTATTTACTGCAAGCTGCCACCTCCCCCATCTTTCTGAATAGGAGATTTAATCTGATTTAAAGAATTGGTTCTATGAAAGTAATTGAGAGAAATTCAGAATACATAGGAGTAATAAAACATATTTTAAACTGTAAAATAACTTTGATTATTTGAGGATGGGTTTTTCAGTTTGTAAATTTTCTCTCCACCCATCCCTATCTTTGAATCACTATACTATAAAAACCAAAGGAGGTGTTTGTTCATTTATTCATCCATTAATTCAATAAGCATGGTCATAGCTTACATTTGTATTGTATTTTACAGTTTACAGAATGTTTCACAGAAATCTTCATTCAACCCAACAGTAACACTGGGAGACCTGTAGGAAAAATAATCATGTTCATCATGTTATTGTTATTATAGTTTCTGTGTGTTGAATATCTGCTATGTAACAGGCAGTTAGCTAGACACTTTAGGTACGTTGTCATTATCTCCATTTTACAAGTAAGGAAACTGATGCTTAGGAGTTTAAACTTTTTAAGATCATATGGCTGATCTTCACATGGGAAACATTAGATGACTTGCCCAAATCATAGATATAATAAATGACCGAACTTGAACTTAGCATTTCTCAATTCACATATTGTGATACCTAGAATAAACATTTATTGAATGCTTACTATGTGCTAAGTGCTGGGGACATGGTCTGCTTTCTAGTCAGGAATACAGACATGTAAGTGAATAATTTCAGAACAATCTGCCAAGTGCTGTAATAGAAATATGTACAAAGTTACTGTAAAACTGAAGACACTGTTTAAAATGAGTATCTATCTACTTATTAAAAAGTATTTGGCATTTTAAATGTTAATAAATTTCCATTTTACTTGTCTTTTAGTACGAAGAACTGGAATACACCACTTATATTTGATCTCAAAGAAGGAACTGTTAGTTTAATTCTGCAGGCAGAAAGGTAAATTTGTTTATCATGTTTGACTATTGAATTTGGGGTTAAAATATTTCAAATTGCGGTAAGGCACTCTTTAGAGCATGCCTGTTTACAGAATGGTACATGAGTCATTTGGAATCAAACAGTTTCTACTATTTATTTTTAAAGAAAAAAGTAAGAGAATAAGCTCTTAGATAAGTGGTTCTGAAACTTTTTAGTCTCAGAATTTCTTTACATTCTTAAAAAGTTGTTGAGGGTTATTGTTGCTGTGCGTGACATTGAGTTGATTCCAACTCCTAGCGAGCCTGTGGACAGCAGAGCAGAATGCTGCCCGGTCTTTTTGTGCCATCCTCGCCTTCCGGCACTACATCAGACGATGCTCCACTGCTATTCATAGAGTTTACATGGCCAATTTTTTCAGAAGTGGGTGACCAGGTCCCTCTTCCTCATCTTTCTTGAGGGTTATATGTGGGTTATATTTATCAGCATTTACTATAATAGAAGTTAAAATTGAGAAATTTAAAAGGTATTAATTTATTAAAAACGATGAGAATAAACTTATTACCAGTAAACATCAGACTAATGAAATGAGAGAATGAGAGTGAAACAGGCAAATTACTATGAAGTAGTTTTGACCTCATGGTCCCATATTTTTATTCTGTTCTGTTTTTGTTTTTGTTTTTAAATATTGGTTGAAACTCATTGATATTATGAGCCACTACTAGGCTGTGACCTGAAGTTTGAAAAATAATATTCTCTACCAAGACTTTCAGTGTATACAGGACTAAGAAACTCCAGGCCAATTAACTGGAGTAAAGTAGGAATAGCTGTTACTCAGGAACCCATACTTTTCCCTGAAAACAAGCAATTTATCAAATACAGTGATAGCCTACTGAATCAGAGGTCAGACTTTGAAAGCTGCAACCCAAGGAAACCTGGAATAAAGTATAAGAATATAATCAACAATTACCTAAACTATCTAGCCATGAAATCTTTGCACTAAAACCATGTACTTTATTCTTCATCCCTTTACTCACCACCTAGGCAGCTGTTAACAGTGTTATGATAAGATTTTCTAGCCCACAGCCTTTTATAAATAGCAAACCAGAAGAGGAATGCTGGTGGGCTGTTAGACGCTGGCACAACGACAGGGAGAAAAGTGACTGCCTGGCAAGGGAGCACAGAGAAAACTGAAAGCACAGGACTGTGTAGCCCGGGAGCATGATTATTCTGATGTACCAACAGATTCTCATGAGTATCAAAGCGATCAGTTAAACAGTTACTGAAGAGTATGAGCATCATATCAATGACCTTGAGTGATTAAGAAAAAAATTGTGTCAAATTTTGTATCATCGGTTTAATGAAGTTGAAATATGATTTATTTATTTAGTTATATCATAAATTTTTAAAACAAAAAGACATCTTTGCTACTTAAACAGTAGATGTCAGCTATCCACAAAAACGTATTTCTGACATTCTTCTTATTCAAACAGTTCCAAATAAATTTATTTACGCATTATTTATAAATATAGTTATTGAATATGCTGTTAGTACAGGCATATGTTAATGGCATAAATGATTAGGTATTTAAAGAATATTTTACTTACTACCTATTGCTGGTCTTAGTACATACAGAAATGATTGCCCCTTGAAACACGGTGTTCACTCACAAGGAGGTTAAAAGCTATACTGTTTTGTTTAGAAGAGAAAATGCTTTTAGTACTGAGACAAAGAATATATACTAATATGATGTGTCACTTAGTCAACATGAGCAAATACTGTTTTCATACACTAATGTGTAAGGGCCAGACCCTTCAATTAAACAAACTACACACCAATACTCAAGTATCAATTTAATTAAAGTGTATATATTTGGTATTTGTTATATACTAACTTTTCAATGGTTTTAGTGTTTATTTCCTATTTGTTTCCATAGCAAGAAAGAACAATTAGCACTTCGTGAATCAAAAAGTAGTTCTGAATCGGGGCCGGCCCGGTGGCGCAAGTGGTTAGGTGCGCGCGCTCCGCTGCGGTGGCCCGGGGTTCACTGGTTCGGATCCCGGGCGCGCACCGATGCACTGCTGGGCAAGCCATGCTGTGGCAGCGTCCCATATAAAGTGGAGGAAGATGGGCACAGATGTTAGCTCAGGGCCGTCTTCCTCAGCAAAAAAAGAGGAGGATTGGCGGATGTTAGCACAGGGCTGATCTCCTCACAAAAAAAAAAAAAAAAAAAAGTAGTTCTGAATCAAGGATATTAAAACCTTGAACATAAGATTTTAAAAAGTAATAATATGAGGAATGAGGATTGAGGAACCATGCGCTCCAGTATAGAGGTAATGAGTGTAAATCATTACAACCTTTCAAAGGGCAGTTTAACAATATCTATTAAATTTTTTAAAGTATATGCCCTTTGATCCAATTATTGCATTTCTAAAAGTTATATTAAGGAAATAAGGTAGACATACAGAGATGTGTATACACTCTAGACGTTCTTTAAAACAGTGAATAATTTAAAATAAATGTCCATCAGGAATGAGTTAAGTAAAGTTACAGTATATCCATACTTTGCCATAAGAGTTACAGTGTATCCATACTTTGCCATAAGTCATCTCTATGGAGGTGGGATTGCAAGAGATCTTTTGCTTTCTCTGTATTGTTTGAATTGTTTTTTGCAATGTTCATAAATTTTCAAAGGAAAAAATAACAGCCATAAAATATTTACATTTTGACTTAATAAGAAATTGACTATACAGAACCCTATGCCTTTAATATAGCTGTCAACACAGCAAATGAACCTGAGTCCCTGCTGTAAAGAAATGTGTTTTTAGATATGAATACATTTACTGATAGTTATCATATTATTTTAAAATCAAGGCATCTTATTTTACTAAATGCTGGTCCTGATGTTAATTTTTGAATCATTTTCACTGTTTTAGACTTTGACCAGTATTTAATCTTTAATTATCTTTAGCATAATCTTTAGTTGTGAAATATATATTAATACTGTTTCATGAAACAAATAGTATCTGGCATTAAAATCACCAAATTGTAAATTATAAGATTTCTTTTATTGCCTTTGTATAGAGATGCTTCTTTAGGAAAGGAAATGAATTGCAAGTATAGTATAAAAGGAGTCAAAGTTTTAGTATATAGGCTGGTTATTATGGACATCTTCATTTTTCTTCTCCTACCTCCACCACAAAACAAAAACCTAGAAAACAAACCAAAACAGCCAATGTTGACTTTTCCGGTTGTTTTATGTTTCATTCTTTGTATATGGATAAAGGATAAAATTCTCTAACGTAAAAATGAAAATATGGTAAACTATTTGAGAATATATTTTTATTCTTTATTTTTTAGACATTTTCTTCTTGTAGATGGTGGTGGTATTTATTTATATTCTTATGAAGGGCGCTTCATTTCTTCTCCAAAATTTCCTGGAATGAGAACAGATATTCTGAATGCACAGACTGTCTCTTTGAGTAATGATACCATAGCAATAAAAGACAAAGCTGATGAAAAAAGTAAGTGCATTTTTATAATTTTCCATGTCACATTTCCATGAAATTTGTTAACACTGTAAAATTTTCTTAAATTAACTTTCGTTTCCTCATCTATTAATGCGTTAACTTTATATGAAACAATTAAGAGCCTCCTAATTTGTCCTAAGCATGAATTAATTAAGGAACTAAAGTTGTCATGTTATACTCAATTGATGGAATAATTAGATATCACAACATCAAAGCTTAGTGGTAAGGAATAAATCTTTATATATTCAGTAGCTGTTGGTAGAGAGTTTGAATTCAAGGTTGTGAGTCCTAAAAATGTATTTTAGTTTTTTAAGTTTATTGATCTTTTTTAATATTCTTTTTTTCCTCTTTTGCTAACAGTAAATATTGTGCTTCATTGTACTATTTGTTTTGCTTGTATATATTTATATAAATATTTGTATGTTCATATATATTTGTAATTAATGAAGTAGAATAAAGTTATGAATAATTTTAAATTTTCATATAAAAATCTAGACCACATTACTATTTATAAATAAATATAAGTATGTCAGGTGTTTTGGAATTCCATTGTACAGTGAAACCTTTTTATTAAGGTATGGCTATATCACAACAACATTTTAAAAACAAATATTATTGAGTACTTACTATATGCCAAGTACTTTTCTAGAAGTTGAGGATACAATAGTGAATAAGGCGGGCGGGCCCCGTGGCTTAGCGGTTAAGTGCGCACGCTCCGATGCTGGCGGCCAGGGTTCGGATCCCCGGCACGCACCGACGCACCGCTTCTCTGGCCATGCTGAGGCCGCGTCCCACGTACAGCAACTAGAAGGATGTGCAACTGTGACATACAACTATCTACTGGGGCTTTGGGGGAAATAAATAAATAAGTAAAAACAAAAAACAGTGAATAAGGCAGACAAATAAACAAATATATAATAAGTAGTTGGCTAATGATATATGCTGTGAAGAACGTTAAACCTGGGTGAGGGAATAGAGAATTCTGGAGGTGGGGCAGGGGAATGACTATAGGACAAGGAAGTGCAAGGCTTCTGAAGTGGGAATGATAGACATGTAAAAGAAACTGCCGGAAGGCCATGGAACTAGGTCAATTTGAGCTAGGCAGAGAGTGTAGGAGAGGACAGAGAGATAAGCAGGAGGCAGATCATGTAAAGACTTGGCCATGGTAAGGATGTTGGCATGAGAGAAAGAGAGGAGGCGAGCATATTGTCCTATGTTTTTATCCTGAATGAATGAGATGGAAGAAGGGGAGGGAGGAAGTTTAGAGGAGGTCCACAAACCAAGAGTTCTATTTTGGTCATGGTGAGTTTAAATACTTTTTAGATGTCCAAGTAGGAATGGAGAGCAAATAATAGGATAAACAAGTCCAGGGCTCAGGAGACAGTGGGGGACTAGAGATATAAATTTGGGAGTCATTGGTGTACAGGTGGTATCATGGCAAAGAATGGAATCCCCTAGGAAGGGAGTATAGACAGAGAAGAAGACCAAAGACTGAGCACATCAATATTCAGAGGTGAGTAAGAGGAGGAGGAGCCAGTGAGGTGAGAGTGAGAGGGAGTTATCCTTAAAGCCTAGTGGAAAAATAGGAAGTCATTGTTTTTCTCTGTTAATACATATTGCTAAACATTGTTCATTACTGTGACACGTTACAAAAAAAACTATGACCTGACCGTTAATTTTGTTAGTTCACACCACAGAAGACCTAATTCAGGAGCTGGAGCACTGTGCAACTTTTCACTTTTCAGTACTTTCAGATGGCATCACCTTTCATACTGGTAGGAAATAGAATTCTCCTAAATAGAGCTGTCTCTTCATGCCTTAGGCCTTCTCTGAGAGAGGACATTTGGTAACTGTTTTGATTTTGAAGGACTTCCTTTCTGGCTAAAAAATAGGAAAAGAGAATGAAATAAAATAGTATCTAGATAGCAAATTTAAGATGGCTGTGTAACTGTTAATAATTTGGAAGTCAGATTTTTGTCTTCAATAAACTTAAATTTGAAAATCCCAGTGATCACTAAGTTGTCTATACTTTTATTATTCAACACCGCATATTTTAGATTGAAGCTATAATAAAGCATGTATTCTTCCCACTGAATATACGTTATTCTGAATTTTTCTATAGTTAATTCACATCTGAAACATATTTCATTATTCTTTAATTCTTTGATATTTCATAGAATTTTAGAGCTAAAGAGAATTAGGAACATTTTCAGAAATATGGATTTATCTGCCAATAAATTATCTGTTTAACTTACGTAAATTTTGATTGTTGAACAAGATAATCATATAATTCCATTTTGCTGTAAACAGAAAAATCAAAGGGACTAAAATAAAATTATTGTAGAACTGATATAAAATGAGGGGGAAGATATTTTCCTTATGTTCCTTTATAAAGAAACTAGTATTCATTGATGGCTAAATTGAGATATATGCTAACAATAGAAAACACAATTGAAGTACCTGGAATCTTTAATATGAAAAATTTCCTTTCAAGGGGACCATCCACGTCTGAAATCAGTGATTCCTTCCTAATTGGGAGCTCCTTTATGGGCAGGATTCTTGTACCAAGCACAGTACTCTATATTATAGTAGGTGCTCAATAAGTACAGGTTAAATGGATTTGAATAGCTCTTTGGGTGCTTGATTAAGTAGTAGAGGTACTGCTTTTGACTTCCTTCTTCTCCCCATCCACCTTGCACAGATCAACTATGATATTAGTGTGGGTGATTATTTGAAACAAATGTCTGGGTATTGGGGCAGTAGAAGTTAGAGAGCAGTTACTTATGTTTAAAAGCAACTCTTTCAGCTGCCAGCTCCTTAATTGTTCTTTCTGCTAGTTTCTGTTACATCCTAACACTAAAATACAGGTACAGCCTCCCGTAGATCAGGACCACTTACAGTTGTGGAAAGAAGTAGACAAGGTCATCCCTGTACCTCCAGCTCTTTGTAATATGTGCAGTCAGGAAAAGGGTGGAAGGCTTTTATTAAAAAAAAAAAAAAATGTTAGTTTGTATCACTATGAAAATAACTGGGTTTAGCCAAGCCCAAAGCATTTTATCTAAGTGAAACTAAAATTTTCTAATTTTTGTTTCTATACCTAATTAAAAATTCTGTTACAGGATTTTTTCTTTTTCATTTTTCTCAGCAATTTTAGAACATAACTTATTGTTATGACAGGATTTCCTCTGTGAATATAGCCAGTGACCTCAAACTTAACATCCTAAGATTTACTAATAGCTAATAATCAATATCAATATACTACAAGTGTGATCCTCTGGATTTTAAATATCATATTATACGTATTTTAGCACTTTTAGTATCTGTATAAATATCCAATTTTTTTGCTGACTACCTGTGCCACTTCTGTCTTTTCAGTTTTGTAATCCTATGTGTATGTTCAGTCATATAAAATTACTCCATGGGGATGAATCTCAGGCTGGAGTAATTTGGAAATTACTTAAAGAGAATCACCAAAACATTCCAACAATCTCCCTCTCTCCCCACCAACAATCTTTTTTTTTTTAATTTTTTTTATTGATGTTTTAATAGTTTATAACATTGTGAAATTTTGGGTTGTACATTTTTGTTTGTCCATTGCCATATATATGTCTCCCTTCACCCCTTGTACCCACCCCCTACCCCCATTGCCCCTGGTAACCACAGTACATTTTTCTATGTCCATGTGTTGATTTATATTCCACATATGAGTGAGTGATCATACAGTGTTTGTCTTTCTCTTTCTGGCTTATTTCGCTTAACATAATACCCTCCAGGCCTATCCATGTTCTTGCAAATGGGACGATTTTGTCTTTTTTCATGGCTGGGTAGTATTCCATTGTATATATATACCACATCTTCTTGATCCAGTCGTCAGTCGAGGGACACTTAGGTTGCTTCCACTTCTTGGCTATAGTGAATA